GACAATACTTCAAAAAGACCGAAGATGTCCACTACAAGTATGCTTCGATTAGTCGATAGAATTGATGAACAACGTAGGAAAAGATTTACGTAAAAATGCCGCATCCAAAAGCAATACTAAAATGAACAATATTCGGTGTACATCGGATAAATAGCTAAGAGCTATCCGGCATAATAATTTTTGTTTTGCAATGGACGAGAGGTGTTACTAGTATGTCGCTAGCCTCCAGTTCATTCCAGTCTATTTGCTTAGTGTGCCTTGAACCAATCACAACGGCATTGAAATATTTCACACAAAAAAATGTTCACACACCAAACGATCGCACACGAACAATGTTGAACATAAAAACTGGATGAGCGGTACTTGACAAATACCGAGTCCATATTAGAACGGGGACTGCATCCACTGGATACACCAAGATATCTAGAACCGGCCCAACGGCTCACCCCGGTCCGACTTATCTGGGTCTGAGGTCGTTCCATTAACCTACAATCTCACGCGGTAGATCACCCTACCTGACTTTACGGCCCACAACGTCTTTTTTCATTACTTACGCGAGAATGGATATAAACTGGTTAAATACATGGTTATAAGCGCCCGGCTAATTTTTCGGGTTGCCCGGCAATACCCGTGCCCCGGAACAACGGTACGGAAAGATAAAAAAAAAAAAAAAAAAACGAGGACACCAATTAGCCGTTTAGCGGTAGATTGAAAAGAAGAAGAAACAAACAAAACAAAACACAAGAAGAACAAAATGTTAAAGTAACATCCCATAACAAATTCCGCCCGACCCGTTGTCGGAAATCGCGTTATGGCGGGGACCTAAATATATCACATTACCTATGACGGACTATTGTCTGAAAAAAGGTGAGTAATTTTTTTCCCGCATAAGCGCACCCTGACGTACACGGCCTTGCACCTACAGGCTTGGCACTGCCAAGCACTGTTTATACCTATGGCAATGGGGATTATACCATCCTTTTCCAAAAACGTCAAGTGCGTGATGAGTCCCAATATATCAAACTATTATAATAAAAACCCAATGTCAATTACTAACACGGGGAGATAAAATGACGACGAAGTTTACTGGAAACGTACTCCGGCAAATGCTTCAGATCGGGTCCGCACTGCTCAAATAAAATTTCACCACACCTCTCACTGCACACCGATCCGTCCGGTCCTCCGTCGCCACCCCAGAGCCGAATCACCGGAGTTCGGGAGCGAAGGTTACCAGTGTGACCGTAGTCGAGGTGCCGGCCGGCTCAGGCCTGTACTAAAATACCTGTCGCCCCTAATGAAGTTTGGTCGCACTCCCTGTGGCTACCCCGTGTCCTCTGTCGGCGTTGGTGGGTCCGTGTGTTTAATTTTATATAAAATGTTAGTATGTTTGTGAATGACATGTACCGTAGAGAAATGTGCTTTGGGTTTATTTAGATGAATGAATTATTTATCACTGAATTGTAGTCTGTTTTACAACAGATAACATACTTATAATTTCTAACACCTTTATTTGCCGTTACTTTTGATGTATAACGGTTAAAAAATTACCGTGACGATGGTTGTGTACGTGATCGCTCCCTCAACAACTCCGAAGGGAGTAATGAAATCTATCCTTGTGAAACGAGTTGTTTAGTGCGAAAAAGAGTGTATTAACGGTATTAACACAATAACTTCCACAACTTTCTTTACAAATAATAAAACAGATAGAGCCTGCTGGGGTTCAGGATTTTTTCTATAAAAATACATCACTGTCTACCCTCTCTCGACCAGGGCTGGAGACGCAAAAGTAGTAAAGCAGTTGAGAGGATTGTAACCAACTGTAAAATTGAACTATAGGGGGGGGGTGGGGTGGGGGTGGGGGGGGGGAACTACAAATTATTATTGAAAGGAAAACGTACTACGTCCAAACCGAGGCGTAAAAAGTAAAGACTTTACGTTAATGAAATAGGGATTATTAAAAAGGTAGTTCAGTGTAAAGTAGATCCTTTACACGTTGAGTAGGACTCGTTTTCTCTATCTTTGTTTTCTTCTTTCGTGTATAAAGAGTGAACGGCCCCACGGTCGCGTTGAGTTTGGAGCTTCCGTAGTCTACCTACCTTCAATTGTTATCTAAGTTAACTGTCTTAGCCTGCACCACGTAAGAACTCGTTTGTGAGTGGAGATTTTCCCTCTGCCCATCTTTGTGAGTGAGACGGGAATTCATTAATTGAACACACCTACCGTTTGTGTGTGGCCGTGGAATAGAACAACATACCACCCCTTTACCTACCTTTTACTTGACTACCTTTGACACGATCTTATTTTACCTGGACAAAGTCGAGTTGTAGATATTACATCATAAAAAGTCTTGTTTTAGGATGGTTTCTCAGTCCCCACCCACCTTCGCCTAGATTAAACATGAAAAATGACACGATATCTGCAATTTACTGATCATGTGTAATTACATACCGGCGAGCCAATACCCAAAAGAATTTCCCCTGATAGTACTTTACGTGAACACATCAGAAAATAACGTGGATGCTTTGCGACTAGACGCTAGCGATCTATAATGGCGTATAGTCGTTTTACCGCGTCTAAAAAATTTTTCCGGCCTGGTAAAATAGTTTTCCGGCGTATTAGGGTAAAAAGTGTGTTCAACTCTTCTTTTTTTCAACTGAGCAGAACTGCACTAGCAGTAGTCGAGAACGCGTATTTCTACATTTGTTGGACAATCTACACTTCACACCGAGTAGCTATCTCCTTTGTCGTTCTCCCCCCACACACACTCTAATTTTTATCAGGTTAACGAAAAATCGTATTATTATTTGTCAAACTTACACAAATTACTTACATTCCCCAAATTGCAATCACCGTCCAACCACCCTCTCTCTTAATTTATCTGTCGGGTTAATAAAAAATTTTAACAATTAAGAAAAGGGAGCGTATGAAATCCGATAAAGCGTTGAAAGGAGTATAAAGCGTTGAAGGGCGTTAAAGGGCGATATTAGTGTATTTTAGGGCGTAAAAATTAGCTATTAGTCCTAAAATCAGGCAGTATTAGTTCCTTAAATCGGCGTATTAGTTCCTAAAAACGGCGCAAAAAGACCTCCCAGAAAAGATATGTACTATACACAGGGGCACAAGTCACCTTGAGTATTTAACAGTCTTTGTGTAGGAGAGAAAAGGGAGGTATGAGGTTTAAGTTTTGCACCGACGTCTAGACTATGCTAAACTTACAGAGACTCAGTCTTTGCTCCTCGGGGAGGGCCAGGATATACCCGTTGAGAGGGGATAGTCTTCCTACTGCGGTCCGGTACGAGCAAGCTTTCGCGACCTATGCGACATCAATGTAGACGAGTCCAGACATCCACGCGACATCAGACGGTGTTCTCGCGCTCTTCTGAAGAGTGTTAAGTCGGGAACGTTTTTTTGTCCCGATTTTTTCTCGTTTATCTCGCTTTACTACCGTATCATTTTACGTACTAGACAAACATAAAACTTCTCTTTTTTTACACGTCCTTTTAATACCGGGATGTTATACTAATAAGTTTAATATCCTCCCACCCTAGTAATCCCTTGGAAAAAAGGAAGTTCCCCCGTAAAGTAACAATTTAGGATGCTCCCGGCAGGTCTAATAACTGAGACGAATTTTTATGATTTTAGGGTCGGGTAAGTAAGCGGAAAGAAAGATACGACACGTTCTTTCGGGGAAATAGGTCTATACAAATGGTACTAACGCGTACGTGTGACATACATTACATAAAGCAAAGGCCCAAAAGCGTCAATTCAGACTGACACACATTCACTTATGGGGAATTGGGGATATGTATCAGCTGCTTGTGTGACAGTCAGACAGTGAATACTGTACAGCGGCCGCTGCCGTGAGTTAACGGGAGAATAAACTCCGGTGGACGAGCAGCGCTGCAGCGGGCGGTAATGCCGCTGAACCACATTAATAAACAATGCACAACGTCACTCTGGAGAAAATTATAAGGTTGGAGAAGTAGTTATTTAATTTAATCTGGCTTCTTATGATTAAAAACTACCCAACGCAGTTCTCTATTGATGTTGTTGTGAGCAGTGTTTCGGAGAAAACCAGCGACGTACAATGCTGTGTGGAAGGAATAAGAAGGCACGAAAACGGTTACGTCATGACGCAAACGATGACGCAATGACGCAATAACTTACCTTTGAACCTAATTCACCTTTGAACCTGCAACAATGAGTTGACCAAAGAAAAGAAAAGTCAACAATGAGTGCTGAATGTTTAATGAGGAGTGGACAGCTAAATATTGTTTCACCGATCTGCTACTGGTCCGGCCGTCTGTCAAATTTTAAAACTCAAATAGTGGCCCCGAGCCAAAAAGTTTGCCCACCCTAAGCTAGAAGAACCACCTGCTTTTTTAAATCAGCTGTGTGGGAACATTTCGGGTTCCCTGTGGACTACAAGAACGATGGAGTGCAAGTGGTGGATCGGATGAGGACGGTGTGTTGGTGTTGTTCGACAGCGGTGCGGTATGCTAATGGTAACACACGCCAAACATGCTAAATCATATCAGAAGGCATCACCCAGATTTGACAATCACGGGAGCCCGGAACAGCAGTTCAACAGCTTATCCCCGCTGTTTTTAAGAAGCCAATAGACATGAAAGCCTTGAGACCAAAATAAATAACAGAAGCTATTGGCATATATATTTCAACGGCTATGCGCCCTTGAAACACTTTCTTATTATTTATTTCGTAATATTTTCAAGACAGTCTTTTTAGTTTTACAGCTTGATGAAACCAAGATAGATTATAGATAATATTGCCTCTGAGTGTGTGTGGTACTGTTTGTGGTTTGTTTTTAACTGTGTAATACAGTTAATTATTCAAAATGTTAGAGTTCCTTATTTTTATACTGAAACTTGCACTACTGTTCAAACATAAATAACAACAAACCTGGAATTATGCATTTGGGACTTTTTTTTTCTTTTTCTTGTTGTACCGAACCCGTACCGAACGATGACCCCCAAACCGAGGTACGTACCGAACCGTGAATTATGTGAACCCCTAGAATGCATATACATGTGGGTAAAGCTTTTTCATTATGCATATATTTATTTTTGCTTTTGTCAAATATTATCAAAAGGTTTTTAATAATAATACAATTTGTTTGTTCTGACTGGTAGACAACAGCTCGAAGCAACTTCTGATGGCTTTCTAGTGAGCTGCTCTCAGTACAAATGTTTCTGTCTGACTGAGAGTGCTAAGATTAAAGCTATATCTCGGTCTTTGTAGGGCCTATACCTCTCTCCGAGAATGAGGAGGGAGGATGAAGGCCTATCTGAGCTGTCTGGCTTGCATACAGCTCTCTGCTGAGCTTTTATCTAGGGAGATTGGTTGCAGCTCTGTCCAGACCCGGCTCCCGGGGAGTGCACAGTCCCGAGACCTGTGGCATTAATAAAGATAATGCTGTTTGGAATAATAACAGTCAATTCAGCCCAATAGAGGAGAGAGACAACAGAGTGTAGCAGAATACAAAAGAAGCCAAGATGAAAGGCTGAAACATAGGCCTGTGCACCTCTATGGCTTTCTTGTGGGAACTGATGGAACCGTTATCAACATGCTCGCCCACAAACAGCACTGAGAGGGACCCTATGCCGATTTTGACCCTCGGGTGCCATGACGCAGAAATGCAATTTGTTCTTTTGTCTGCCAAGATCACAGAGGGAGAGCAGTGACTTGTCTTTCTTTTATTCGTACTTGTTTTTTTCTCCTCTTCCCCTCCTTTTCATTCTCTCTGTTCCCCCTCGCCTTCAGTGAATGTAATTTAGTTTGATGAGCAGGTGGTCTTTTTTGAATCTCACAGTACTTTTGGCTCCCACCTCTGGCGTGTGGGGCTTTCAGTCGAAGTCAGTCATGTAGGCCAGGATTAGAAAGGGTGGAGGAGAGGAGGAGGAGGTCCAGTTAGAGTGTTAGTATTGGCGACCTCAGCGCCCTGCAGTCAGAACCATGCAGAGTGCCGATTGAAAGAGTTATTTTGTTGCTAAAGCTCTCAGACGCACCCCAGATGGCTTTTGTGCGGGCCGGGGACATGTTTGGTGACAGGGTTAAAGCAACAGAGTCCTTCAGGCTTGGTGAGGCTCTGGGCTCAGCAGGTATGGCACTGTGGGCCAGACACACTGAGAAGGCAAAACGTTGCCGTCTCGGCACTTTTCCAGCTTGAATCTGAACAGTGGACCGAAACAAAATAAGTGGATTAGAGCAAATAGTAGACATACTTCTGAGCACACCCTTACCACACACACCCATATGTATAGTGAGATGTAATCCTCTGAACATCCACCCAGATTAAGATTTATTGGAGCATCTCATCTGATGTCACATAAGACAAAAGAGCTGGTAGTGAGGGAGGGAAAGTGCTGTGTCTGCATTTCCAATACAAGCCCTTTCTCCTGTAGCGCAATATTCCCTGGTAGCTGCACCGGCCAAATTATAAACTGCTTTCACTGTTTTACCTTTGATCTCCCTTTCATCACACGCTGCTAATTATCCAACCCTGTTCCTACTTAAAGCAATTTATGGCCCATTACTTTATCTGTCCAACATTCCTCTGCAATAATCTCCATGGTGACGCCTAGACAAGCAATCAATATTTTGTCAATAATGCGTTACAGGTGTGCTGATCTGCTGTCTTTCTTATTTTGACTTCTTGTCTTAAAGTACCTTCTGCCCTTGAGCATTAGGACTTTGTAACATGATTCCAGACTTGCATTATACATTGTATCGAGGAATAAAACAAAATGTGATGCATGTTGTCCAAATTGGAACATGTTAAGGCCAACAAATAAATCAGGACTATAACTTTGATTTAACTATCAATCTGCTAATTACTTGTACTTTAATTGTGAAGTCTGTGAAATATCAGAACATGGTTAAAAAAAATTCACAGGCTTCAAATTCTATCTTTGGTTTGAAGAAGAGTTCTAAACCCAACAACTTTTTATTAAAAAATAGCATTAAATACAGAAAAGTATAAATTGATCATGTCTGGGAAGCCAGTTGACTGAATGTCTTTAAACTTGCTCAATTTATTCTAAATGTATGTTTGTTTACACAGCCTCAGTGTTCACTTAAAATTATGCTTAGAGTAGCTGTATATGTGTTACTGGAGAGTGTTAGGGGTTAAATCAAAATATCACCCCACCGTATATAGCTAATAAGAAGACAATGTCATAGTGAATGTCTTAGGTCTGATCTGTAAATCTAAGTGGGAGGAGTGATTGGTCGGACCTACTGTTCACCATCCTGTGTTTGTCCCTCCGAGTGTTTGTCACGGAGGTTTCACAAGTGGCCGCTTCTACTCGCACTGATAAACAGCAGGGATTGGATCCAGACCTTGCTGGGTTTGAACTGGAGCCCTGGGGCTTGTAACCACACAGACCGGGAATGTTAGTCATTTGTTTATTATTGGTGATATTTGCCTGCTCCTAATCCCTGGCCGGATTAGCCCTGATGTGTTCCTCATCCCACTTTTTTCCACTGTTTCTGGCATTTCATTAAGACGTTCTGCGTCTTTTGTCAATATGTGCATGCACAAGAAACACACACAAATGTGTATGCAATGGCGTGCTTTTAGTTTGTGTGTTGATGCATGAATCTGGTGCCATTTCACATGTGTCGCTGAAGGATGTTGATAATCAGGGAGGTTTGACAGATATCTAACCTCTAACTTCATCCCATGTAACACAGTCATCAGTGTCAATAAGAAAACTCTATTACTGTGACTTTCTCCCATGCCAGGGCAACTTGATCTGTGGCTGTGCTTGCAGCTTGAGGCGTGTTCGGATCTACCAATTCAGGGCTGTAGAACTTTTTTTTTTCTCAAACGGAAACACACAAAAAGCCCTATAGGAACTAATTAATCAGAGACGTTGAACGTCAGCGTGGCGTCACTGGAAATCGGAAATTACTGATGCCATGAGGGAGGAGAAAGTGGTCAGAGTGGTGCTTACAGGGTTTCTTTACCGATTGTTAGTTCATAGAGGGAACAGGGTTTACTAAGCAGACTTTTTCAGTGTGACCTTTAAAGAGCTCACACTACCAAACATGACCACGCACATGCGCGTTAACACGCCATACTTTTTTAACCATAATGTCTTAATGTGTGGGAAAGTCCATACAATCTGCACAAACACTTGGGCCCCGAACAAAATTGCTTCCCCCTAATTCCTCCCTCAAACGCACAGAAGAAGATACACCAATGCAAGACTGACAGACATTTATGACACAGACATGTAATTATTTATGTTTATGTGTGTGGGCTTGAAGGCCAAGAGGTTAAGCATGAAACTTTATACATTTTTTGAATACTTGACTAAATGTTTTCTGTGTGAGAACCTCATGTCACTGAATGGACCAAATTGTACTCTAGTAGACACGATTTAGGGCAAAGCAGACTCAAGTTTCAAGTCATTTAGGATACATCCAGGGAAAGTTTGAAGTTTTTTGGAGTACATTATTCAAGATGTAGCATTTTAACATTTTATTTCCAAACCCATGTTGATAATTTGTATAACTATAACCCTAATATCTATAAGCACAATACTTAAGGGTAAGGTCTGACAAAACACTTTGTTTATCTTTCAAATCTCAATGCAAGTCTTTAGGCAGGTTTTGGAGCAGTCAATTTATAACTTTCCTGACTTGGGTCCGATTTTTGAATTGAATGATGCTCAGTAAACCTTTCTAACAGTATCAGACCCCTCCCAATACATCTTTTGTTACCCTCCACACAAAGTGTTTTCACTCACTTCACATGGAAGCTGTCCAGCTGAAGCGGTCACAGCTGAGCTTCATGGGGTGTTGGTTAATTGGCAGTTTTTCGTAAGTGCAGTTATGCTCCACTATGCATATCTTCCTCAATGTCCCTTGCACTATTTGCCTTTTTAAAGTGTCCTTTAATTGGCAGCACAGTCACAGTCTCCTGCTTTAACCATCCCCTGTGGTACCTGAATGTGACCTTTTTGACCCTGAGGCCCTGGGGTGAAAACCTCATTTATGCAGCCAAAACCAATGACTGTTAACCTGCTTTTCTTTGCAGTCTTTTTTTTTCTATTTGTGTTTCTGTCTTTAATATGAGTTTTGAAGGTGATCTCTTTTTCATGGGGACAGTACTGGGCCTCTGAAAAGCTAAATCCGCTTGTTTCAACACCTCTTCATAAGCCTTACCTTTCCGTTGTTTTTGTGAGTGCCTGCCAGCCTTAGTCAGGCAGTTCTGTCAACATGGTAACATGCCTGCCTCCTCAGCCCTAAAGCAAGGCCTCTTATTTGGGCTCTAGGGAAACCTGACTAGTACATCTGATAGATCTAGCCACAGCTTCTCCCTACACACCAGTCAATTCCAACTGGGCTGCATCAGCAGTACTGAAAGACCTGAGAGTACTGTGATCCCACCATGGGGTGTATGGCTGTGGCTCCTGCTCCACTACACTTTAATCCCCTTCTCTTTTAACCACAATGGGAAACATCTGCTTACTCTGTG